TCGGAAAAACTGACCGCTGCCTCAGAACAAGGATTAAAGAACACTCCTCCGACAAAAACTCAGAAGTTCACAAACATATTATGTCATGTGAACACTTCCAATATTATCAGACTCTACTAAACCTACCCAACACACTACTTGCTCAATTTGATCCACATACCACAGAAGCCATCATATACCAAAACTGTGTTATTTTAGATAAATCTAGACATTGGTCATTATTGTTATATAAGGAGTCCTTACTTATACATCGCCAAAAACCTGAACTTAATCACGGAACTAGAGCCTCTAAGGAACTTGTGATATTTAATTAGCGCGTAATTTGATCCGCTTAACTTGTAAATATATATCTCAGTATTTTTCAATAGCGTCATTCCTGATGATGACTGAAACCTAGTCGAAACGTTGAATAAAATGTTAACTATATTCGGAGTGTCTATTGTTTTGTTCTTTTTAAAATTACTTAATATTGTTATGCCGTGTTACTTTTCAAATCGATAATTTTTGGAATTCGATAAAAAATATCATTTGATTGTAAACTCGTGTATTTTTCCCAAATACACTGGTCTATTTACTCAGTGTACATGTCACATCTTAACCGTTCACACATCACATTTAAAATTGCAATTGGCATAATCTATGATCATTATTTGTGACCATATTTAATAGCGCCCCTTGGCGCCCCTCAATATTATATTTTTTTGGGCTTTTAACTCATGATATTTCCTTTGCTAATTTCAGGTCTTCTTGTCCAGAGTTCATGTTCTCCCGCTATTTAGGGGAAGCGTTCGTGCATCCCAGAGTCCCATGCGCCAAGCAAACAAAAAACAAAGCGGCAACGAATTAATAAACGCAAAAGAGAAGCAAAAAAAATTTCACTGAATGGAAAAAATAATGTGTGTCAAAATGAGAAAGACACAATACACAATGGCAGACTGTTGGACAACCGAAGAACAGACTTAATGGGACTGTTTCATATTTGACAGGATCAATGACTGTCTGGTGGTGAAAAACCATTTGTGCTTGTTGGAACCGTTTCTTGTAGTCAGTTGGAGCAAATAGCAATGACTGGAACACGTTTAAATAATTTTTGTTCTTACAAACAATTTTCTTAGCCTTGTTTATGCCAATACCTCGGATATTTTCTATGTAGTCACAACCAGCTGCAATACACATATTATTAAAATTTTCCTTGGTTAATTTTAGATGTGTTAAAATTTTTGCCATTTCCACCAAGTTACCCATACCATTTGTTTGTTTGTAGCTTAAATAGCACCTGAAATATATGACATGTATACTGTAGTCCGCATTGCTGCATGTATACTGTAGTCCACATTGCTGCTTGAATGCCTTACTACGGATGTAATAATACAGATAGTGTCTCACACAAATAGTGTACAGCATTATACCTGGGCATTCACCAAGTCAATGTTGAAAATAATAGTCCTGTGTAAATTTCACCCCACCCAGGCCAGCCCATATTTAAAAGCATGCAGGACACCCATGTCAGTAGTTTCACACAGTGTATTAATTATGTTATGGTATGAACTACTTTGCATATATATTTAGGGGTGCAACGGATTTAAAATCCGGCTGGAATTCCGGCCGGAATAAATTAATTTTCCGGCATCCGGCCGGATTTGGAGAAAATCCGGCCGGATTTAAATTTCTGTTTTCACCTTAAAAAATTCACCAAGAATGGGATAAACCATCAATTTGGCAGCTTTAAAGTTTAAAAAACACTTATATTATTATAAAATATTAGTTATTAACAAAAATCTAAACTGACACCAACTAAAAATAGTAAAAAACATAAACCGCCATTTTAAATACTCTGATTTATCCCCCAATTGTCCCCATTACCGGTTTATCTCAAATCCGGCAGGAATTCCGGCCGGAATTTTTGTCCAAATCCAGTAAATCCGGTTCCGGCCGGATTTGAAAATTCCAAATCCGGTGCACCTCTAATATATTTGAACAGCCAGCTAGGCTGACCTGGTTCCCAATCTGATAAAACTTTTTCCCTATAAACGTTTACAAACTGGGCTGGCGTGGATGGAAGTTCTAAGAATGCTGCTGTGAGTTATGTAGAAAAACTGTTAAAACACTGTAAACTCACTACACTTGTGCTATTTATACAGCATATACAATCACAATAAATTTGTTATTCATATATTTTATAACACTTCATTGAACAATGTTTTACTAAGTCTATACATGACCACCATTGTCGAAATGCAAACAAAAACATCCCATTATATAGAACAATTATTATGCAACAATATGCTAGAATCCATGTATTAACACGTACCTTTTCACATGGATATAGAGCATTTGCACATGACATCACAGCCAGCATGTTGGTGTTCCAATTCAAAATAATTTTAATTAAACTCTTCTGTCTGGAACTCCAACATGGCCCCATGGCTTTTGTTGAGTTGGTCCCTGGGGAATGAGTGCAAATGCTCTATACAAGCAGGTCTGAATCTTAAGACACTGCAAAACCACAGCCTCAAATCGAAGCGCCTGGGGACAAGGCTGGCAAAACCAGCATATCCGTTAATCACAATAAATGCAATTTGTGCATCTGCTTCATATGGTGCCATTATGTACTGAATATCATTATGTACTGGATAATAACAAATTGTTATTTACTGCACACAACTACTTTTCAATTTACTCTATAATTTTTTATGCATTTGTACATAAAAAGGGTGTCATTGTGGGAATGGGAATTTTGCAAAACAAATTGATCAAATGTCTGATTAGCAATGCATTGGCATGGATTATAAATTGTTGTGACATTCCTGTGCACGAATAAAATGTACATTCTGGGGAGGGGTATGGGCAAAAATGTGAGAGTTTGGAATTTTTTTTAAATTTTGGGTAAATTCTAGTGAGTGGAAGGCATACAAAGTTGAAAACTAGATGTGAAAACTAGTATGTGGTTCAATATAAACCACATCATTTTTCTTACTCTCCATATATTGCTATATGCAAAGTGCTTTTTCTGCCAGCTGCAAATTGCCATTGCAATGACCTTTTATTACTTAGATGCTATTTTGACCTTGGATACTAGAGACACCCAATCCACCCGAGACAACTTTACTGCACGTTTATATGAGAAAAAGTTATAGCGAGATTGCATGTGACTCCTGAAACATGCAGTTATTTGTTTGAAGGCCTGGGAATGAAAAGTTATCCCTGGAGGCCGAGACAAACTATTTACATGGACAAAATTTGTCCCTCCTACGAGGGTAACCCTGTTTTGTAAACCGGGTGTCCCTACTGCCAGGGTGACCCTACCAGCCGAGACGAGTTGAAAACTTCCATATAAACACTTGCGTTTAAATGTTATATATTGAATATAATTTTGCCTCTCCCAGGGTAGCTCGGAGGGTAGAGAGTGTCCCTAATACCCGAGATCATATAAACAGCACCTCAGTCACATGATATATTCCCTACTCCTCGACATCTCTTTTCAATGTTGCATTATATTTACAATATTTGTGATACCAAAAATTGAATTGGTATGGCATATAAAATGTGTGAAGATTATGATTTTCATGATTTTCATAGATAGATAGATAGATAGATTTTATTTTGACACGCTAACTACGTCAATTAAAAACATTGATTTCCACGAAGGCGTGTGTTCAAAAGTTATTATATATAAGTGTTGTTATGACTCTTATGGAATCAAATAAAAGAAAATAGAAATAATCTAACTCTTCCTATTGACAAAATTGACAATATAGACAACTAACAAAACATATAGATAACTATTTACAATAAAGGATATATATATATGTATGTATAAATATATTATTTAGAAACATGAGCAGCAATTTTTCTTTCAAATAGAGACTGGGACCTAATTCCTCTGATTTCTTTAGGCCCATTAAACATAAAACTCTTTTTCATGCTATTTGTGCGGGGCTGTGGCAAAACGAGTGTTGTTTCATTGTCACGGAGACAGTAATGCGTATCATTATTATTATTTCATCCCATAGTTTTTAGATAAGATTGTGTTGTCAAACTATAGAAATTGTGACCTGTGATGGCATTGGGAGTACTAAAATGATTGGCAAATTCTAAGCATAACTAATGAATTACATGGAATTTTACAGATACTGTACTGAGCATATATTAAACTGGCTTGTATATTGCATTAAGCAATATAATATTGCAGAAAAATTTCCGTGTCTATATGCATACTTTTACCGTACGTCCACAACCCTGAACAATTTGCATAATAATTATAATACAGTCATAAGAACAATAAAGTAAATAGAATATACATAAGTTTAGCCATTGAAATACTGCACAAAGTGATAAGTAAAAATATAAATAAATTAAAACAAACATACTTTCGATCATCGCCAAACCTTTGAAACTCACAGCCAACGCTTTGTGCAGCCAGCAGGTTGCATCGACTGCACAAACTTTTCCAGAAGTTCTTTGACGTGTACTGCCACTGTTGATTCTTTCAAGAAGGGCAAAGATACTTTTAATATACCCATCGCTCGGCCGTGCACAGTGTTTTCACCTCGAACGTCCGAACGCAAATAAGTGAATTTTGGTGGGAAAAATAATGGGATCTAAGATCAACTAATCAGCTTAGAAAGCACTCCTCAATTATGGTCACAGATCATTTCAAAACAAAATTAACTTAAGTACTTAAAGTAAGTAATTTTGAAATGGAACAGACTTTACCTGAAATGAGACTAACAAAAATTACATAGTTGAGTGAATTTTTTTAGTCGTTAGCTTATATAACGTGATATAATAACAAAGCAGGAAAACTTTCTCAGTGGACCGCATTTTTATTTGTATTATTAAATGCGTATGGGTTCTCGTGAAATTTGGATACAATCATACAACTAGCACTCGTGAGTTTTCAAAGACCTCAAATAGCACTCGTGTTACTTTGATGCACTTTGAAGAACTCACTCGTACATATTTTATCCAAATTGCACTCGAAACCATAAAACCATCCTATTACCTATACGAATATAATACTGAATTTCGGTTTCAGACTAACATCGTCTCAAATAATTGCACCTGCATATACATACGCCACTTACATACATGAAATGAACTAGATTGAGATCGGATATATCACAAACATATAAATATCACCAACTTAACCTGGCATGCTCGTGCAGTTGGTAAAGCATTCGACTAAAAAATTAAAAGCAAACCAAAGGCTGGGGGTTCGATTCTCACCGCGGTCAAGAAAAATTTTCAGCTTGCCTGGTATGGACACACTCAGAGTACCCTACATCTCAAATACACTTAACATTCTGCTTTGCAGGAATGGGAGCAGTTCAGTCGATTCCGCTAGTTGGAGAAGCTGTGACTGTTATTGACAGTGGGGTGAAACTTGTTGCTGCCGGTGCTTGTGCTATTACGGGAGAAATACTAGATGATGAAGATGCAAAAAAAGCTGCCAAGACGTTCGTTGAGGACGCGGGTAAAACTTGGGTGGAATATTCCGAGAGGAATGTAATAGCAGCACCAATACGCGCAACCGTACACGCTGTGGATAACAAACCTGAAGAAGCGCTGAGAGTGTTAGGAAAGATGGGTCATTCGGTCGAACAAGTCGTTGACAACACACCTGTTGTTGGCCATGCAAAAGGTGTTGTTCATTATATCGGTGGGGACACTGAACATGGTGACAATTGCATGAAAGGGGCGAGTCGCTCAGTGGCTGTACTTGGTGCAGGAGCTTTAACTGGAGGCGTGGGTGGAGGAGCAGTTTTGGGCGGATTTGCTGCAGTTACAGGGGGAGTCGCTTATGATACAACTGTAAGTGTAATTGAAAGTAATGTAAAGGATAAAGATTGTCCTTATGGAGTGATTCAGTCAATCGACCAGGTTATAGAATCAGATAAAAAAAGAGATGGGCATGGCGTAATTAGTGGATTGATAGACATTGGATACGCAACGGTTGGTGATTTTGCTGCTGGCGCCGCTGCTGCCAAGACCGCTAAATCAGTAAAGGAATCAATAAAAGCAAAGAAACAAAGAAATGCATTGGGAAAAAAAGTTGGAAAGGAAGGAGTTAAGGATGTAGTCGATACAGCGAAAGAGTTAAAAAGCAAAACAAAAGATGTGAAAGGAGACAACCACGTTTGCACCAAGACAAAAAATCTTGAGACTGGAGAAACAAAATATGGCTACAACAGAAGATGTCGTGTCGAGATGAGAAAAAATGAGTTCGCGAAAAAAGGAAAAGCCAGTGGATACAGAAGTAAAACAAATGCAGCGAAAGGTCACCTTGACGAATTTTCAAGAGAAGCAGGGGTGCTTGAGAATGCAGCAAATGAGACCAATATGGAGATCAATTCGGTTAGTAATAGGGCTCCAAGAGCATGCGCAGAGCACCATTCCTTTAACAAACTCGGTACCCATGGTGGAGAAAGTAATATTCGTACAAGTAGTGTGATGAAAACAAAAGGACAGTTCGTGACTGTAGAGAGATGTGGAAACTGCAAGCAATACGGAAATTTGATGGGAAATGTTATAACAGATGATGTTGCTGGAATGCCCGTACCTACCACGGAATTTTCTAAAAGTTCCGTTGCGTTAGCTGGGGTTGCAGTGATTTTCTGCACTAAATGTGGCGCCAAGAAATGTGAAAATGAGGAATGTCACACTGAAAATAAGAAGGATTAATGAATTCTATATATTGAATATTCCATGCAAGCAAAATGGTAGCGACGAGACTTTCGTTTAGGTAGTAATTAAGCATGTTTTAGTTTCAGTGTATTACATTTGAATTAAGCGACAACGATGAGCATCGATGCTCAGAAACAATAAAACAATTTTGTTTGATTTTTTTGTTACAGCCGGGACATGGTTGCTTGTATTACTAATCAATTGCAAACTCAATGATTGTTAGTGTTAGATGAGTATCACTGCAGATAAAGGTTGCTTGGTAATACTTAGATAAGCGGTATTCCGTACGTACTTGGTCGCCAGTCTCATTTATAATATAATATTATAAAATTTATAAAGCACTTATTAATAAACTATTCTAAAGCGCCAGGTACAAACAGTGAGATATAAAATCATAAAGTTACTTTAGACTATATTTATACATTATTCACAGTTAATTGAAAGTTAAAAATTGTCTATATATATGAAAAACACTACTAATGTACGCTTCCCTATAAAGAAATGTTTTAAGATGTCTCTTGAAACAGTCGACCGAAGACGAAGCACGAATGTCAAGTGGGAATGAGTTCCACAGAAAAGGGCCAGCTCTCACAAAAGCACGATCGCCCGATGTCTGGTATAATTAAATAATTAATATACGTGTTAACATTTTTTTCTGATAATTATCCCTATTAATCTTTATTAGTATAATTACATAGGTAATTATTGAAAATTCTCCACGCTGATTGGTTGCCGTTGAGGTGATTATGCGCGATAATCACCTAAGCGATTTTCGAAATGGCGCCGGCGGCCGAAGCCGTTTTGTCAATTAAATGACGAAGAAATGTGTATTTTTTATTTTACTTCCAAATACTCACTTATGAAATTATACTAAAACAAATATTCACCTCAGGCTTACTATTCACCGATAATCACCTCACCTTCAGCGAATAATTGTTAATTAAGAACCTTCTACCTAGCTACCAAACCTCAGCCTGAAATTAGGAACTTTGCGCGACTTTAAAATAATAAGAAACTTCCCTGATATAAAAATTGGATTCATCTCAAGAACTATGGGAAAGGTTGACAGATTATCTTCTTTTATCTGGCATACACTGTATGATATTGTATCAAAAAAGTTTAAATTCTAGCCAGCGTGACCGGCTCTTCTATAAGGCAAAGTTGGTAATGAACAGGTTATGATAAATGATAAACCGGTTACTCGATATTCCTCTTTTCCATGTCTGGGAGTAGAACTACATGAAAGAATGAGCTGGGAAAACCATACAGACACAATATGTAGGAAAGTTGGCTCCTGTATTGGAATCATCAAAAGAGTAAAGCCGTTTGTACCGTCCAAAACACTACAAAATTTATATAATTCTCCCGTTCTCCCATATCTACGTGACGCGCTATCGCGTGAGGCGCGAGCTTGACCGCTCCGCGGTTTATGCAAATTTTCTACCACTGTTTTTGGAAATTTGAAAGTGAAACATTGCTGGATTGTAAATAAAGTTAAGATCTACCTGGACAAGTGAAAATCCTGTTAATCCTGTTTGGATATTTGTCGAAATAGTCTATTTTTACGGCGACGATAGACTTTTAAAACTTCAGTTGGAACCGTTTGATTATCATATCACGCAAACATACGGCGCACGCGACAACATTACACGTCAGTGCAACAAGCTCAAATCACAATTGGAACTCCGATTAGAACTGTTTTGAATTGAATAATTTGATGCTTTCAATTAATCTTTTAAAAAAAACAAGATGAATAAATTCATGATTAAGAGCCCTATCTTTTTCATCATCCTGGTTTACTGGTTGTCTGCTTCTGTGGTAACGGGATCCAAAAACGACGATGTGGCCAAAAATATCTTATTTAATCGGACCGTTTCACAATTGCGTTTCTATTCTTATATGGAGGATGAAATCTTGGTTTTTAGTTCTTACGTGGATGATTTTGATTATTTCAACGAACTCAAAGATTTATACAATTTTTCATCCATATACAACTTTTGTCCAGAGTTTACTAATTCATTTCTGGCAAAAGAATATTATACGACTGAAAAAAGTTGGTACTGTGTTATTAACAATCGGACACACTTTGTTGTATTTATTAAACGTAAATTTATGAGACGAAGACTTCACTATTATACAAATTGTCAGTCGACTTTTAACCCTACCGTACTGTCTGCGTATTTAATAATGTGCGGTGACATCCACCCTAATCCAGGACCAACATCTACAAACACTTCTGTAAACGGAAATTCGTCTCGTAGCAATAACTGTGCTTCGCGTGAACGACAACCCGGGGACAAACAGTCAAACTTGTTCTGTATGCATATGAATGCCAGGAGTTTGAAAAAGAATATCAACACGCAAGGAAACTTATTTATTTCTAACCTGATTAAGTTTCAAGAGATGGTATATTCGGAATCGGTTGATATAATGTTTGTGACTGAAACCTGGCTCAACAGCAATGTTACAAGTAAAGAAATTTTACCTAATGGATACAATATATACAGATCAGACCGGTCGCTCGGACGAACCGGAGGAGGAACACTGATAGCTATCAAACACGGTATTTTCATCAGCTGCAGTCAGCTTACTTCCATTGCTACTACGAATTTGGAGGCAGTTGCTATTCAATGTACCCTACCCAACCACGCAAAATGGCTTCTTGTGTGCTGTTATAGACCACCTGATAGTAACGATATGTCTGATCTTAGATCCTTTGCTGATAACCTATTTCCTAGTTACGACAAGATTATTATTGCCGGGGATTTTAACCTCCCAAGTATCTCTTGGACAGATGGTAACTATACATCGTTTGGTTCATTGAGTCAGAATTTCTGCGATATTTTGGACGATTACTTCATGTCCCAACTTTGCCTTACGCCTACGAGAGAATCAAATATTCTGGATCTACTGATTACAAACCAACCTGAACAAGTATCATTTATAGACATCTGCTCTCCAACGGATTTAGGAATGTCTTCTGATCATAAAATTATACAGTTTAAATTTTCCTTCGCATCTAAAACCATTCAATCTAATAAACGTTTGGTCTACGATTACAGACGAGCCAACTTTGACGGCCTGCGAAAACGTTTAATAGACATAGACATTTGTTCTCTTGTAACAAATAATGGAACGGAATCTAGTGTTGATGATGACTGGTCAACTTGGAAGGACGCCGTGATGTCTGCTGTGCATGAATTTATCCCTTCCAAATATGTGGACCCTCGTCGCTCACCACCTTGGATAACACCTACCATCTTGCATCATATTCGTAAAAAGGTTACTGCCCGTAAGAGATTCCTTAGCCGTGGAACTGATTATCTTAAGGCGAAGTTTAACAAACTGAGAGCTGAAGTTAAAAAAATGATTCAAAATAGCAGAGAGTCATTTTTCTCGTCATTAGGAAACACTATACAAATCAACCCAAAACGTTTTTGGTCGGTTTTCAAAATCAAGTCAAGTTCTGGAAATATACCCAACTCCGTCACAAGGTCGGATACCAACAATCCTGGGACTAGATTACAAGCTAACACACCACACGACATTGCAACAATGTTTAACGAGTACTTTCATTCTGTCTATACATGTTTCTCTGACCAACCCCCGCCATCTCAATCTGGTTCATCATCTCCTTTATCCAGCATCTCATCCATTGACCTCTCTCTAGAAGAAGTATATCAAGCTTTACTGAACTTAGATCCT